ATACATGTAACTATATTGTATATAATATATACGTATAATGTAACATTATTCGGATATAAAATTAGTTATCTGTCGACCGGCGCTTATGGTGTAGTGCTTAGGTTCTTCGCCGGTGCAAGCAGAAGACGTGAAGAGTTGTCAATTTCCTGGATTGGCCATGACAACCAGAGTTGAAGTAGCACGTTTTCTTCATCATCTAAATTGTGTCAGTGGGGGCGTAAACTATTAAACAATTGCTTGTCGATCCTGCTCAGTCATTGATTGCAGATGAGAAAATACGTAGGAGATAATCTACTACAAACGCACCAGTGCGTATTAATTATTTCTTACTAGATGCCAATGCGCTACCTTAGAACTACAAAAATCTAACTGACATTTCTGGTCGTTTTGAGTTCACCAAGACAGTGACGTCAGAAACCCAAGGTTTTTTCTGCTCCATCAAAATCGTAAGATTATTCAATTCGACGTCATGACCAAGATTTCAAAGAATTGCGTTCGAAAAAGCTTGGCATGTTGTAAAAACCCTAAATTCTTTACGTCAAATATATCAAAACTAGGTACTGAGCAGATAGAACTATGTAATTCTAAGGTAGCTAGTAAGTTTTTTTTAAAAACGTGGAACACAAACAGGCCAAACGACAGCTACGCGTTGATAAAGTTATTCTCATAGCTTGGCGGGTTTTTAAAAAATGTGTTGTCGACGAAGGTAATATGAGAGCGACTCTAGGCTCTGTTCACACAACACTGACCCTTGGTGTGGATAACCTGGGTCTTTATTCCAAAGACGGTGTTTTTGAATCTACTTTGTTTGGGGAGATTTCTTCAACTGTTTCCTTCGACGTGGTTTGGTCCTATTGGAGAAGGACGTTGGAGTCAGGGCGCCCGCACCTTCAATGCCCTCACCGTGTTGAAAGGGGTGTTACCTCCAAGTATTGCATTCGTAAATTATAATGAAAAAGAATAATAGCACTAATCAAATTCATCAAGTGCTAGATCTGCGACAAACATCGGCGATCAAGGTTCTGCATTTGTTCCTTTGCTCGGCTGCTCTAAAAGAGTTAATACGATTACCCTGATCTTTCCCTGTCTTCCATCTGTTTAAGATTTACAAAGAAGTTGTTCGGGGTGGGGTGGGGGGGGGGGCGGTGCCACTGACTGAAATGTCTTTAGGCCATTCCCAATGGGGGGGACATTTCTCGATCATGCAAAGTAGAATTATGAACGGGCTGATTCATTAATGTCACGCTCATAACTGTGCCTGTTCTACAACAGGGAACAGTTGCTTTTTCTTTCCTAATCCTTACTATTGTCATTTTACCTCTACTTCTTTTGTATGTTTGTCACACTCTTGTGACCAGCTATTTCCGGGGTACCTTGAAAGTCGAAACAGACTTAGTGCTGTTGAAGTTAGAGAGTTGAGCAGAGTTCAGTAAGCCCGATTCCCTGTAAAGACTTCTCTGTTGACATCCACCCCTTGACGCTCACATGACCTTAAGCAGTTGCAAGTGCCGTGAAACCTCTACCGGTACTAAATAAATAATATTTAAAAAGTTGCTCTGGGTCTACCCCTTACTCGTTTACCTTCAGGTTTGCCAGTAATAGCTAGATGTTCAAGGCCCTAATGTCTATTCACGTGTCCCAGAATCGTCATAACTAA